CCCCCCCCCCCCTCCCCCCCCCCCCCTGCCCCCCTCCCTTCCCGCCACTGCTCTCCCTTATCCCTCCCCCTTGTGCACGCACTGCCCCCCCCCCCATCTCCGTTCCTCCTCCCCCAGCTCTCCTCCCTCATCCTTCCCATGCACATACTGTCTGTTCCCTCTGGCCCTGTCTCCCCACACACCCTCCCATCAGCATCCCTTCCCACCTCTGCACTGTTCTCCCCCTGCATCCCTTCCCCTGGCACTGCTTTCCACATCACTTCCCCCCTACTGCACATACTATCTCCCCCCTCCAGCACTGCCCTTCGCATTCCTTCTCCTGGCCCTGCTCTCCCCCATCATCTCCCCTCCCCTGTATTTCTTCCCTCCCTGCTACACTATACCTGGCCCTGTTCTTCCCCATTCCTTCACGCTGATCCTCCCTGTCTCTCCTGTACTCCTCCCCCCAGCACTGCTCCCATTCTTCTGTCCCCCTGCACTGCTCCCCCTTCCCTTCACACAGTCCCCATCCCTTTCCACTTGCACTGCCCCTTCCCCATTCCTTCCTCCCTCCTTCCTGAGCACTGGTTCCTCCTGCCCTTCCCCCCTTCATTCCACCACCTCAGGCACTGCTCCCCCCCATCTCTAGCCCCCCAGTAGGCACTGATTTCCACTTTCCCCTACACATACCCCATCTTCTTTGCCTTGTGTGGGCACTGATCTTCTACCTATACCCAGACATTCATACCTCAACAGGCAGTAACCTCCCACCCGTGCCTGTCCCTTCCCCTTGCAAGCACTGACCTCTCCCCCTCACACCTTGCAGGCACTGATCTCCCTCCTCTTCTGCTGCAGGCACTCATCTCCTCTCCCCTCATCCCCTGCAGGCACTGATCTTCTCTGCTGTCCTTCCTCCTACTCCTTACCCCCTGCAGGCCGTGATCACCCCCACTTACCGCCTGCAGTCCATGATTTCCCTCTCTCTCCTCCCTCTCCCCCACCTACCTCTCCCCCTGCTTGCACTAATTTTCACCCTCCACCCATCTTTCCCTCACCTTTATCACACTTATTGTTCTCCTGTCTCCCCGCTGCTGTTGTAAACATTGATCCTGCGGCTCTTCCTTTTCTTTTCCCTCATGTGCCTTTAAGTATACAGAGGGAACTGGAGACATCCCATTTATATCCCTCACTTTGGGCTGGATAACTGGAGGTGAGGATGACTGGCTTCTTGTGTGTAGTTTGGGTGAGATTAGAAGGAATTACTTGCCCCTGAACCTTGCAGCCTCCTCCTTCCTAGTCCCTGTTTGCTTAGCCTGCTCCCACCTCCCTTCTCTCTGCTTTCATTGAAAGGAGACATTCAAGTCCCTCCCCTCCCCCAATGTTACTGGTGCAGGGAGAAGCTGCTGCTCTGACCATTTCTGTTCAGGCTGCCTGTCTGCAAAACCTGGAGGGTGGGGCTGGGGATGGGGGGAGGTGAGAAGGAGAGGAGGCCCTGTCTAAAGAGAGTGTGACCCAAACACCCTTTGCCTGTGAGAGTGTGGCCCGTTCAGTTCTCTGTGCATGTGTTCATTGTTTGTTCCCCACGCCCTGCGGTGTTTCCTCTCCAGGTTTGGGTTGTGTGGTGGGGGGGGTCGCTATGTCGGATGACGATTCGAGGGCCAGCACCAGCTCCTCCTCATCTTCATCCTCCAACCAACAGACAGAGAAAGAGACAAACACCCCTAAGAAGAAGGAAAGTAAAGTCAGCATGAGTAAAAACTCCAAGCTCCTTTCCACCAGCGCCAAGAGGTGAGACTGTCTGCAGCCAGACACCTTGTTATTGCTGTCTGTGTGCTTATATGGCCCTCCTATTGTTATATCTGCCCCATGGCTTCTTGTCTTCCTCCCTTCCACTGAGCATTAACTGTTTCTATTCCTCATTACTGACATTTACCTTCAGCCTCGCCACAGAAATTGCTGTTGTTCCCTTCCTCCTTTTGTTACTATCTGTGCTTAGGTTTGGGGGAAGCTTCTCGCTTACCACTTCCCCCCTCTCCTCACCATCTGTGCTCAGCCCCGCTTTTCCCTACTGAGATTACTGCTCTCCTCTGCACTTGGATTTAGAGCCAGAATTGTGTAGCGATTAAATCCTACACTCTTAATTCCTGCTCTGCTACTGCAGCTGTGTTGGACTTGAGGAAGTCATTTAATTTCTCCATCAGTTTTCCTGTCTGTAAAATGGAGATGATAATGAACTCACAGGGGTATTGTGAGGATTAATTAATTGTTTCCTTTGATCTTGCATGAGGTAAAATACAAATAATAATTGCACAGTTATGTAGTGCCACTGCTCCCCACTAAATGCATTACTCCTTCCCTATCTCCTTCCACCCTGCATGAAGAGCCTGTGAACCTGGGGAAATTCTTGTTTCAGAACAGCTCTCCAGATGGACTCTATTTTCTAAAATAAAAGGGACTTAAATAATTATGCAGACTGGCATAAGTGTTCCAGTATAATTTGAGCAACATTCCCCATGTAGACAGGCCCTTAGGAGCCAATTCACTTCCAAAACATTACTGCTGCCCCACCTGAGCCATTCTCCATTGCACATGAATTCAACACCATCTCTCTCCAAGAAGCTCAGTTAGCTGAGAAGCAAGCTTTTGAGCAAACTTTCATTACTCCATCAATAAGACCAATAATGTGTCTGACCAGTCATTAAAAAGCTTCACAGTGCATCAGCCAATGCCCTGCTGTTGTGCTCAAGTGCTCATTTGGCTTTTGCAGCTTTTAAGCAACTTGTAGGCTTCAGAACTCACCTGAACAAGTGGTTCCTTGGCAAAGTTGCATACGCAGCAGCAAGTGGGGGTTGGACAAGAGCTAGTTTTAAATACCTGCTGATTGTAGATTGCTTAGTACTTATAGGCTTGGGTTTTTATTATATGTAACAGACAGAAGACAGGCAGAGGAGGTTGGTTCAGTGTGGAGGAGGACAAGGAAGGAAGGAAGGGAGGGAGGTTGGCTGAGAAAGAATAGTGAGGCTATAGGAAGGAGATTGTCACAGATGGTAATGAGAAGGGAATTGTGGAGCCTGGAGTAGTCTGGAGGCAGGGAGGATGGTGAGGATGGGATTTTGTGGACTCGGGAGAGGGGACTAGAGGATGGGTGGTAGGAGATATTTGGAAGAAGTGGTGGCAGAAGCAAATGGGACCTTGGAGATGAGTGACTATCCTCCTTTCTTTGAGATTAGTCATAAATGGATCAGGGAGTGCATGGGGTTGGGCTCTGTTGGCATTGTGAGTAACTGTCTCCATCCTATTCCCCAGGATGCTAAGTGGAGAAGGAAGTTGTGGCAGTTGCTGCTTAGCTTATCTCCAGTGAGACAAAGCTTCATAATTTCCCCCAAGCTGTAGCCCTCCCCTCATACTCAGTGCTTGTGTTTTCAAGGAGGATCTGCCTCATTGCCCGCATGTTGGAGGGGAATAGGACCTGCCTATCCCCTTGTGTGTCTGTGTGGGTGGGCAGGTCTGTGGAGCTGATATGGGGAGAGGGAATGTCTGTGTTTATGTCATAAGGTGTCTGCCTCACTGTGTGTATCTGGAGTGGTCATATGTACACAGGCGGCAGAGTATAGAATGCATGTGGCTATATGCTGCAGTGAAAGGCTCTGGCAATAAGGAAAGAGCCCAGCAGTAGGGCCTGCTGCAGTGAAAGACTTTGGTGGAGGGAGCTGCCTTAGTGTCTCCCTGCTGCCTCCCCTTGCAGTGTATCACTACACATACCATATATGCCTCCTGCTTTGTAGACAAGACCACTGCAGAAACATGCAGTGGGACAGACGCTCTCTGACTCTCCACTGCTAGAGTCTTGAGCTGTGGTGGGGAAAAGCTCCAGCAATAGGTAAGCAGCAGGATACCACACTGCCAATAATGGCAGTGTAAATGTGAGAAGCACTGCTTGGGCATGTAGAGAGCTGTGTAGGGTACATACCCTAGGGTTCTGGCACGTCTCAGCTATACTCCTCTAAGCAGTGCCTTACTAGCTACACTTTTTACACCTGTTCTACTTAGGTTTACAATATACATACTCTACATGCCACTGCAGGTGTAGATCTACCCCATGTGTGCTTGAAAGAGTAACACACACATACAGCATCACAGTCACAAAACTTTGATTTGTCAATTTCACATGCGTTCATTTTTTTTATTGTATCACTTTGGTATATATGGTTGTGCTGATTTTCTTCCACATATTGATCTGAGGAAGTGGGTCTGGCCCACGAAAGCTCATCACCTAATAAACCATCTTGTTAGTCTTTAAAGTGCTACATAGTTCTGTCTTTTGTTGCAGTTACACCAGACTAACACGGCTGCATCTCTATCCCTGTGACATATATTTGTATTGCATGTATGTGTTGAATATGATCCCACATAGTGACTTACCTTCCTTCTTTCCTGTTTGTATTGCCATAGGATTCAGAAGGAATTGGCTGACATCACGTTAGATCCACCTCCCAATTGCAGGTTTGTTGTGATCCCTTCTTGCTGGGAAGTAAAATATGGTTTTTATGACTTGTAAATATCCTTATAAATACTGCATACAGCAGAGGGATGACCACTTAGATGACATAAAATAATCTTATGAATGCTTGGATGACATAGAAATAAATCCCCTGCAGGAGAAAGCTCAAGAGACAACGTGTTTTGACATGAATTTTCTGTTTGTTTTGATTTTTCATAATTGCATTAGTTGGTCACATTATCTCTGTGCATGTTTTTGACAGTGGTCAATACAGAAGAGTGTGAAAATGTGCCTCCTTTTGGTTTTTCCTGGTTTATAAATCTAATGCTTGACTGGGTTAATTTTTATTTATGTAAGAGTCCTGCCAAACAAGCAGAAAATAGTCAAATCTGTGTGGGATTTTTCTAGCTTTGACAGTTTTGTGCTAAGCAATACCACACAGTGAAAAAGGGAAATGTTAGTTCATCAGTCAGTATATGTACTGGAGAAAAGCATATATTATTTGATGAAATCACACCCTGCGGGGTATGCTGTTGCCCTTTATAGAATGGTTACTTAAGCTGTGTTTTAGGGATTCAAACATTATGAAAGCTTTGTGTTCATCACCTAGTTGCCCTGACCCCAGATGATTCTCCTTGACATTTGAGAATAAAGTGGTATTGGCCATGTCTTTGGTTGTTCCTGTTAATTACATGGGAAGGCTGCTTTCAGCCTGGGCTCTCTCCCGCTTGGCCTGCTGGAATCTTGTTTCCAAAGACATTCTTGAGTTCTTTATCTGACCAGGCTCCTCCAAGTTTTCTGGTGCTGCTGAGCTAGGTCTGAAGCTTTTTGATGTAATTGGTAACAGCAATTAAAAGAAAGTGCCCCTTAAAATACGTCTTAAGATCAGTCATGCAGCTACTTACAATGGGCTTTTGGCTCCCACCTTTATATTGCTGGTGCTCCTGGTGCTTCTTGCTATCCTTAGCTAGCACACAGGGAGACAGTTGCACAAGAGTTAAGTGAAGAGGCCATGAGCAGCTCTTTCAAAACCACTGCCAAGCATCCTAATCACTGCTAGTGGGGATGGGGGAATACATGGGAGCTATGGGCTGAAAGGAGACTTCCACATTGAAAAAAATTAGCCAAAGAGTGTGACTCCCCACTCCTATTGTCAAAAGATCAGTAGCAGTATCGGGGTATGGGGGGGGGGGAGGATTGAAAGGAAAAAAGAAAAACGTGATTTGGATGTAGTATACATTTAAAGATTTTATTAATAAACATTGTTCATAAATTAAATTTAAGAGGACTTTTTAGTGGTTTGACTGACAGAAAGGTTTTGATATACTACTCAAGGCTGTGGTCTTTGGAAGATAACTATGCATGGGTTTGGAGCTCTCTTCACCCACTGCTGTATTGTTTTAATGGTATTAATGTGCCTGGAAGCTATTGTGATGAGTGTCTAAAATGTTTCTGCATAACTAAATCAGATTGCAGCCTTCATGAAAACCATTTTGGAAAAACCCTAAACTGTTCCTATGTGAAGAAATTGGAGTCATGTGTGGGTTAGCTAACAGATTACTTTGTCAAACTATAATATGGCTGTGGAGATGGTTTTTTACTTAAATAATGCAGCCCTTTACGGATAATAACGTCAAGACACAATACAACAAGCCTTTCTGAATATTTTTAATGGTGGAAAGCAATTGATAGAACAAGCAATAAATTAATACTAAATCATATTATAGTTGCAGGTATCCTGTATTCCTTCTGACCTTCAAATGAATTAGAGTGGAGATTGACAGTTTTATCTATCAAATAATGTTGTAAATTTGGAATGTTAAGCTAACTTATAACGTGTTAAGCGGTAAAACACTAACAAAGGTTTTCTTATGAATCCAGGTGTTTTTGTATTGCCATTCATGCTGTAGAGTTTAATATCTGTATATTATAGTAAGAGTAAGTACAGTGTCTCTGTTTTTATACTTTGTGGTTAGTTTGGTTCAAATGCTAAATGCCTTACACTTCCTGACATTCTTTGGGCTTGAGGCTGTATACAGCAGATTTGCTAAGTGTGGACAGATGCTGCTTGCCACATCTGGTGAGAGGAGTTCCAGCTATCAAAGTTATGTGGAGTGTTTACTTCCTGTGGAAGGGGAAACTGTCAAATGGAGGTGGGGGAGGTTATGGCACTGAAACTTTCTGGGTGATGTGTAATGGTTTAGGTTGCAGTACTCTAGGGAAGCCTGAATTAATTTGGTGACTTTGCATTATTCCTTCATTTACAACAGTAGCTCTGTGACAAAGGTATTAAACTTGGTTGTAGAATGTAGTTTTAATGCTCTTGCCTTGGTAACTTTAAAAAAGTCTTTATTTACCATGTGTCTTCTCTGCTTAGCTAAAGCATCTCATCTGACTGCCTCTGCTGTGTCCTCTCGCTCATACTTTGGCACTGTTTTTCATATATTACCCTGCCCCCAGAATCGGGTTTCCTTTTTTCTTCCATTCTCGCCTCCCTTAAATCTCTTCTCATAATCCACTTATTGTAGGAGTCTTATTGGGTTACATTTTGAAAAACACCAAAGTTCTTTTGGTTTTTCAATGGGGATCAGGCTTCTGAGTATCTGTCACTTTAAAAAATGGGACTTAGGATTGTTAGGTGTTTTTGAAAATTTTACCCATAGTCTCATTTAACTAGAAAAAAATACTGCATAAGTCTAAAGAGTCACTACTTTCTCAACCAGCCACCATTGTCCTCTTTCAAAATCTCTGTGTTTTCTAGCTCCTCATTGTCCATGTCTTAATATGGGGTCTTATTGAAAGGTGCCCAGCACTTTAAACTCCCATTGAAGTTAGGGATGTTAAATATCAGTTGAGTAACCTCATGAATTCTTATCAGTTAGTTGACTATTCTATAGTCCCTGGAGCCAGTGCGCTCTGGCCTCACACCTGAGAAGACTCCTGCCACTCCACGCTGCTGCTCCTGTATCAGAGACAGCAGCACAGGGTGCCAGGTGGGAGCTGGTCTGCAAGGGGAGCCAGTTTAAAAACCAGGCCCTTGTGGACTGGCTGCCTGTCACTCTGTGCTGCTGCTGCTGCCTGTGATAAAGAGGCAACACTGCAGGGTGGCAGCAGCTTCTGTCTAGGGAGTAGTCTGAGCTCCCGGACCTGGCATGACTGGAACTGAGCTGGGCTGTCTGCCCGCCCGGCTCCTAATGCACTTGAAGTGGGGGAATACAGTTGAAGCGGGGGAGGGTCCTGGACCCGTCACAAGTCAGGACTGAGCCTGGCTACTGGCAAGCGGGCTGGGGAGGAATGTGTGTAGTCTTTAGCATTAACTTATAAGCTTTTGCTTATCGGTTAACCAACTACACGTTTACACCCTAATCAAAGTCCATGGGCGTTGACAGCACTTAGCACATCCAGAAGGAATCCAGAACATTGAAATTTCCCCTTCTGGGTGGAGACTCAATCATTATTTATTTTGTAAATATGCCCATCCATGATGCTATGCAAGTTCATTAACTAAATTTAAAATTTCAAAGAAATAGTTGAAAAACAAATCAGGACTTTCATTTTTGCAGGGTAGCAAAAATACAGTCAGACTCCAGTTTTTTTTAAAAAACAGACCTTGTACATGCTGATGATTTTTTAACAGTAGTACACTGAATAGAATTCACAGATATCTTCTGGTTGGTATTTGAGATATTAGCTTTCTTTTACGTGGTATAATAGAACCACAGCATTTGGCTAATTTAAAGTGAGTTCTGTATTGTTTTATGTATGCTAACATTTTATGTGAAATGGTTGAAAGAGGATGCGGGAAAGCTTTAATTTTCTTTTGTCCATTAATGGGATGATTTGGCTTCTGAAACTGGTGATAAGCATAAAATCTATATTTTAATTGTATATGTTTAGTGACAATGAGAGCTACAGATTGGTTAATGTGAAATTGAGATTAACTTCATAGCTTTTAAATATTGCACATTTGGATCCCAGTCATAATGAAATTTCAGTTTTCTCTGTTTAAATATTAGTTTGTGTATGAAAGTGAAAGTCATAATTCATCAAGAGTTACTGAAGAAGAATATGTGGAGGACCTGGACCACTGACTGGTTTTTGGTTTTGGTTTTTTCGCCCCTTGTTGGTGCATTGTGCATCTTATAGGGCTTTGTTTATATTACTACCCATTTGAATGTTTTGAAAATCTGGTTCTGTGATTTTCTCCAGTTGTGGTTCTATCTTTCTCGGTAAACAGGGCTTAACTGTATTTAATCACATTAATCAATATCTAGATTGGGATGTGTCCATATGACTAGATTTGTTTGAGGCTGTCAGAGGGACATGATTATAACATTAACTGCCGCTTACACTGTCTCAGGTATTTGTATGGCTTCTATTGCCATAGTAGCGGAGTACATCACAATCTTTTATATAGTTTTCCCTATGAGGTATTTTCCCCATTTTACAGGTAGGGAGCTGAGGCCCAGCTTGATTTCAGTGGATAGCTTTGTGGAACCGAACCTAAAAGATTAAGGCCTGGTTTGTAAAGTTATTTAGGTCCTGTTTTGTTCAGCATTCTAACTTATGGGTAGGGAACTTAAGGCTCAGGGGCTGGATGCAGCCTGCAGCTTGCCTGGATCCAGCCCCGAAGCTCAGGGCTCTCCGTAGCATTGGGGAGCCCATGCTGGCTCTCCAGCACCTCCCTCCCCCACTGCCCCAAAATCTACTAGGCTAGGCCCCTGTAGGCTCTGGTATGTGAGAGGGATGTGGGGTGAGTCTTTCTCATTCTCATTCAGGTGCCATGTCAGTGAGGGTTTGTTTTTTCTTGGGGGGGAGTTTGCTTCTCACCTGTGTGCGGCCCCCCCCAACAGTTATTCTGTGGATCAGTGGCCCCCGACTCAATAAAGTTCCCCACCCCTGTTCTAGCTGACTTAAGCTTCTGAATACCTGTCAGTTCTGAAAATGAGACATAGGCTCCAAAGTCCCATTGACTTTCAGTGAGAAATAGCCTCCTAAGTC